ATTTTTCTGAATTGCATCTGAACTTCTGCCTTGATGATGTCCAATTTGTTGTTGAAGTCACGATCCGCGGGTTGCTCTGCGCCTCGGATTCCCTCGTCCGCTCTCTCGGCCGCTCTTTCGGCCGCTGTGGCCCGAACTGTGCGATTTTTGTGGTTTCTCAACACTCTTTTAATACTATTTTCTTCCTCCCAGTCCATATCGTTTTCTTGTTGCATTGATTCCATCGCTCTCTTCGTTTTCACCCTCTTGCGCTGAGGGCGGCGACATCCCACTCCTGGGGATCCCGAATCGCCTCTCATGACGTCTGAAGCGCCGCGCGCCGCAGCAGACATCTGGAAAGACAAAATTTTCCACAAGGTGCCTCAAAAAAGGAAAGAATAACGTTATCGATTTTGCAAAGATCCAAGTAGTTTTATTGCGTTCTCAGGTCAGCCGCCAGAGTCAAAGCCATGGTAGCTGTTGACTTCTTTCTCCCGTTCAAGTCAAGTCTGGCACTAAATCATCAAGTCAAGTCAAGTCTGGACCCAGACTTGACTTGACTTGACTTGTTGACAGCGCTGGCATGTGCAGAGTCGGGGTGGCGCTGTGATGGAGATGTTTTCCCCGACTATTGACTTTGTGTCTAGGTTACCCTGCCTCGAGCCTGCGTACTGGGGCTCGTGGAGCCTAGGTTGTAGCTCACTGGGGGGTGATAGCTAGTTTGCGGGGGGTGATCGGGTAAACGTCGGGGGCCCAAACAGGGGTCTTTGGGGCCGCGACTATAGTGGAGCCGCTGCAGTGAAATGTACGACGTAAACAATGAAAGGCGACCTTACGATGAAGAGTGTGAGGAAAGGTGGTCCGTGCGACTACGTACCTTCTTGCGCTGCAGACGCGCATCCTGTACCTTCTTCTCCCTTTCCTCAGCTTTCGATTAGCAGAATTGAAAAGTACTTGTAGCGCCCTTGTGCCTCGCTATATATTGCTCGTCTCTCACAGCGACCAACATTTGTTTTAGGGGTACATGCTCTAGCGACGGCTCTACTATGGTCGTGGGACTAAATGTTTGGGCCCCCGACGTTTACCCGATTACCTCCCGTAAGCTAGCTATCACCGCCCGTGTGTCTCCGCTTTTAAGAACCCTGCAGATAGGCGCCATTCCCAACTTGCTGCACACCCGAGACCTCCGTCGATCCCTAAACAGACACACCACAGTTCTCAGAGAAACCAAGATGGCGCCGTGGGCGCGTATCTTCTGGGCATACTGGCTGACGATCGAAATAAGCCACGCAGTCTTTAAGTGGTCAACCCTCTCCGTGTCAGACGCTAACCATCTGTTTGTTACCAGGACAAATTCGTCGACCAAGCAAGCCCTCCCGAACCCCGTCGTCGCCTCGCCACCGAGTCCTAGCCTAACCCGGACATCTCGACAGCTTCTTCGCAGCCCTACTTTCCATCACGGAGTCCGCCGAATCCATCGCACCGTTCAAGACATTCGATACGGGCGGAATCCGCACGAGCCGCTGCGACAAGGCGAGGCAACAGGTCCGAACCGTTCCCCCCGCAGAGGCTGTCCCTCCGACACTGACGTTGTCCGCAGCCGAGCCGAGTAAGACACAAAGTTTCCTGAAGTATTTTATCGAAGAACTCCGGAATCAGGCGCGCGGGAAACCAACCAACCCTCCCCCGACGAAGTTGCCACCGAAGACGTGAAGCAGCGAATACCGGTCTTGGGCATACACACATTGCGAGGGTTCGGTCCGTGATAAAGCAAGACGTACGGCGTATTGGATTAGTAGCTATCCTCTTCCTAAGGTAACGTAGTCAAGACATTTTTGAGCGCCTCTTTGCGTTTTGGTCTACACAGTCGCTCCCTTGGTTGCGGATTGGATACGATGCCTTTCTGATCAACACGGCGACGCTGCTGCTATGTTGGGTCGCAAGTCCATTGCCTTGGATACCTACTAAGATCTTGCCAGAGGCAATGTCAGCGAGAATGCGGGCCGCCGAGGAAGGTGAGCAACTCAGTGTTGACGTCGACGATTCTCTGGATATGGTGGTGCATTGTAATGTCCCATTGGGGACTGGCAACGGAAATTGCATGAGAAAGGATTTGGTTTTAGTGGCCTTGCAAGTTGGAACGATCGAGAACACAAAGAACTTGTCAGCCACCTGCATTGTACCTACCCAGGTGCTAATGAACACTGAAACCCAGTAAACTCTGAAGATGCCCCGGCACCCCGCTTGTGTCGTTCCCGTCCCAATACATGGCTCTGCTCACTCGGCAGTCTGCTGGACCGCTTGTCCCCGACGATTCAGAGAGTGCTGAAAGATGATTAACCGGGCTTGGACGGGTTCCAGTTGTTGAACAACTAGCTGATGTATGGCGACGCTGGTCGCTGGACATGAGCATTCGGCCTCAGCCTGAGAGACGTGTTTTGGCTGGCGCCTTTGTTCGACACTCATGAAACCGGTTTAGAGTCATTTTCGCCGTTGTCCACGGCACAGGCTCTTTGATGCCGAGTTTGTTCTGTACATGTATATCGCGATCGATTGAACACCAGTTGAAATACCTACAGTTCAGCACATATAAAGTGTCCGAGTGTCCGTTCATAATCGCAACCCGCATCTCACTTACCTCAACAAATTCACCTCAGGCTGACATCTACCCACCTTACCTTACCCAAGGTACCTTAGCTAACTCCGACATCAATCCCACATTTTCAAAAGAGCAACATGTCAGCAGCCCGACCCCGCAGCGTCACTGGCACCTCCCCTTCCACACCTACAGCCCGGGCCGAGCGCCTGCAGAAGAAACCCACAACCTCCACAGTCTCTGGGCCAATCACCCCTCTGCTCACGGGCAGCAAGCCCGCACGCTGCAGTGTCTGTATCAAAGGGACCTCCAACTCCCACTCCACCGAGAGTCTTTCCGCCAGTGAGCATTCTTCTCCCGCGAGCAGTCCTGGAGCGCCATCCCTCAAGCAGACTCCCGATACGACACATCAGGATCTCCCGGCGCAGTCGCCATATGATATCGACCCCGAGTGGCTGGCGCGCCCAGAGGTGTTTGCGGATCTCAAGGTCCACCATGGGCGGCAAGTGGACCTGCGAGGGCCAAAAGTGTATCTGCACCGGCAAGGTTGACATCCCGTGGCCGCTGTGCGACGAGTGTCTGGGGCGCTGCTGGGGGGTCATGTTGTGATCTGACTGGCCGGATTCTCAGGTTCTGAGGTGCGTGGGCAGGTGTCCAAGTTACAGGTAGGTAAGTAAGGTACCTAGGTATGTACCTTGAGTGGGTGAGGTACACAAGGTGAACCTGGGTGAGAACTACCTATGCCGGTTCGGTTCGTGTTATCAAGTCGTTGAGTTGCTGCCCTACCTTCCGGGTTACCTAGCAATCAAGGTATCTGTGGCTACGTTTACTTAGGTATCGTGGGGGGTTGGTTCCGGAATGGTAGCTCGAGATGCCCTAGGGACCAGCCTGAATTGCCCAAGTTTGAAGATTGAAGCGTGCTAATTACTCGGGGAAGAACTGTGAGAAGTACGGAGGAGGACTCAGAATACGTACGGGGTTGCCTACCTTGGGTGAGAGAGTCCTGAGATGTGACCGGCATAGAGGTTCCTGGCATGCCGGTGATACTCCAGCCAAGTTCTCCCCATAATTGTTCATTGGAAGTGACTTGCGAAATTGAATGATTAATAATACCTTAGGAGGCATTGCCCGTACGGGCCCGCCGCGGCCCCGTCAGCCCGACGAGGAAGGGACGTCACCCCACGTCTTCGCTACCTACTTCCCAATGTATTGGATCGAATACAGTCAAGCCCTCGGGCCTTCCACTTTCTTCAGGTCTCCCTCTTCCTCGACCGTCAGTCGCTACCAGCTCCCTGGCATCAATGGCATCCGTCTCCCTCCGAAGCATCCCAAATCCCAGCATGAAAGCAAAACAATACAAACAGCGTCTCTCGCTGGTGGTATACCTGCCTTCCCATTTTGCAAGTCTGGTACCTTAGGGTTACTGATCAGGCCCTCTCTGCGTCATCCCACTCACCGCGGATTCAATCCTGCGTTTCCATCCAGATTTCGCGTCCCCGATATTACCCACCCCACCAAAGAGTCAAAGACTTGAGTTAAGCCTTCCGGTACGATCCACCCCACGGGGTATTACCCGGAGATGGAACATGGAAGCATAGCATCCATGGCATCGGGTTCAGCACGAAAGTACTGATGGCCCAAGCTCATTCGTTGTCAGGGCGGCGGTTGCCAAGGTGGTTCGTCGGGAATTGTCCCTCAGGGCTCATCAGGCGCTTTCTCCGTTCAGTGCCCAAAAGGGGCAATGCATCGGGAACACAATGCCGCATGTAACGCTGGACTCCCAGCCCGGTTCTCCCTCAAACACGCTACCCACCTCAACAGACGCCGGCATTCACGCGGCGGTACTTGGAATTCATGTTGCGAGCCCCCACCCAAGCCAGAGCTACTGTGGTAGACCGGCAAATCAGCAATGCGCAACGGAGCTACGCCCTGCAACATCATCTAGCTTTTCCGGCCGCGGAGCGACCCTCCATCTCGACACTATGCCTTGGAAGTTAGAACTGAGAAAAAATCCATCCACAGATGGGCATTACGGAACCATCACGCGCCCACCTTGCCACCTTGGTGTTGCATACCGTACCTATGTTGCGACGACGTTGCCCCAGGCGGATGTAACCCCCAAACGACGAGACAGGAACTTGGCGGGAAAGAAGAGCCATGAGGGTCCGAGATGTTGTGTCTCACGGTCCGAGGTGCCGGTTATGGGGGGCGCCGGGGCCGCCGCGCCGGGAGATCAGCAATTATAAAGGACTCCTCTACGGCCCATCATCCTGGCCTTCTTTCCCTGCATCTCCAATCCTTGATCAACAGTCGGGTCTTGTAGTACATCCACGTTGTTCACAGCCCCATACCATGAAGCTCACCACGTCCGTTGCGCTGCTTGCGGCAGCTGGCGTCAACGCCCACTGTAAGCCCCCGCCCAATCCTTCACCCACAGCGTATTCTAACGAGAGTCAAGACACCTTCTACAGGACCAAGGTCAACGGCGTGTCCTCGGGCGATTGGGAGACGATCCGCATCACCGAGAACCACTACTCGCACGGTCCCGTCCAGGATGTCAATTCTCCCTCGGTAGGTGCCATCCCACTCCTTTCTGATCAGTACAAAAGCCCCAGTAGATGCAGCCCTTGACACACGAAACTCCAGATGACGTGCTACGAGCGCGATGTCGGCACGGGCGCCCCCAAGACCGTCTCGGTCCAGGCCGGCGGCAACGTGACCTTTGAGGTGCACACCCTCCTCGGCCACCCGGGCCCGCTCCACTTCTACATGGCCAAGGTGCCTGCGGGCAAGACGGCGGCCACCTTTGACGGCAAGGGCGCCGTCTGGTTCAAGATCTACGAGGACGGACCCCTGGGGCTCGGCACCGACAAGATCACCTGGCCGAGCGACGGCAAGACCGAGGTGTCGGTGCAGATCCCCAGCTGCGTCGCCAACGGCGAGTACCTGCTCCGCGTCGAGCACATCGCCCTGCACAGCGCCGGCAGCGTCGGCGGCGCCCAGCTCTACCTCGCGTGCGCCCAGATCAGCGTCACGGGCGGCAGCGGCAGCCTCAACACGGGCGCCCTCGTCTCCTTCCCGGGCGCCTACAAGGCCACCGACCCGGGCATTCTGTTCCAGCTCTACTGGCCCAGGCCCACGAGCTACATCAACCCCGGCCCCCCGGTTGTGAAGTGCTAGGATGTTGTGGGAGAGCCTGTCTTGGTCCATGACCGGACCTGAGGGGAGGGTTGGGGAAGGGGCATGCGACCATGAGTCTCGGAAGCATGCATACTTCAGCTGCTTGCTGGGTTTGCCTTGGCTGTACATACTTCGCTTCGCAGTACATATTCCTTCCTCGTAAGTATTACCAGGTAACGTACTTGCATAACGAGTGGCGCAGCATATCGAGCGGCGCACTTTTGTCAAACCTCAACCATTTTGTGTAAGTCAATTCAACCACAACAGCTCAAATCAATTGAAGCTACTCGGAATCGCTTTCCTCAGACGTCTCTGAAACTATCTGACAAGTTCGCGCATTATGGCCGGGCTTCTTGCAGTTGCTGCAGAGCCGAACGCAAGGCTTAGCGACGGTGATACAACCACCACTCGTGGAAGTTTCCTCGCAATCCTGACCACCAAGTCCCTGGTC